GACAAGGCGACAAGGCCGAAACGTTAGCCAAATAAATGTTATAATAATCTTGGTGTCGGCTTGAGCTACTCAAGCAAGTGGTCTTCTTTCCTACCCTTCAGCGTCGTCTTTGCTACAGTGAAGCTTCGAAGAGAAAGAACATTGTCGTATTCAACTATGTTAGGTCGGAGAAACAACTGATGTGAGCTATAAGTTCAGCGCAAATCCATTGAGAAGAAAATCTGTCCACTGAAGTCCAACTATATTCAGCGTTAATCTGAGTATGAGTGACCAAATCATTCCCCATTACGTGTAATCCAAGAAGCTACTTCGTAACAGTATGTATAGCTATTCTTTCAGCGATTACAGGCTTTAAAGCGTAATTAGCCATACCTAACCAAAGTGGTAAACACAGTATTTGCCCATGTCTTTCATTTAGTTTGCTAGAGATACCTGTACAGCCGTGTGCTAACGATGACCAAGCTCTTGCAAACTATTAATAACCTTCATCACCATCAAACATTTCATCATTTCTCAATACACGTATTATACAAAGTCTGGATACTCTAACAAAAAAAGTTTTACCAAATACTTCCAAATAAAAGCGAGCCAAAAAATGAGCGGACACGCTACAATATATACAATGGTCAGTTAAACTAGTTTAATACTAAAACTCATCAAGTGGAGGTAATAAGCATTTCGTTAACATTAGTGGGAAGCCTAATATTAACGATGATTACTGGCACGATTTTAGACTATTCAAGATTTGTGGTATGACAATTTCAAAGCTAGGCTTCTGCTTCTACTTCAGCATGAGATCCGTATGCTCAGGATGAGATCGTAAGCACGCCACCAGATCATTCGGTTTCATTTCTCCTTTGCAAATTCGGTGTACTGCGGTGAACAGAGGGAAGCTGAAAATCAATATATTAGGCAGTGAAACTTTATACTTCAAAGCTACACTTCAGCTGATCCAGAATAGCTAACATGCTTGAAAATTGTCTGAGGCCTCGGGCAGAGTTCAAGCGATCTCATCGCCGCGATTCTCCCAACAAGACAAACAGTCACGACTCTGTTGCGTGCCGATCATCTTGCATTTCGGTTGTGATAGTTAGTCACGACTGGTCTCGTAGCACAATTATCACAACCGAAATGCAAGGTGTTCGACATGCAATGGTGTCGTAACTGTTTGTCTTGTTGGGAGAATCGCAGCGATGAAATCGCGTAAACCCTGCCCTAGGCTTGAAGGATTAAAGTGGTATTTCTTTTGCAAACTATTTTCCTCGTGATGAACAGGGAAACCTAACCGCGCGAGTGGTTTGTTTTCCATTCTCGATGATTTTCCCCCATAATCCACCGCAATAGCAAATTAAACATGCCAGCGCATGAAAAACGAACCATGAAAAGAGTAACGGCGGACGAAACGAAATTATTCCAAATAAGTTTCAGCGGAAAAACTTTGATAAGAAAATTTAGAGTCGAAAAAGAAAGAATAAAAGATATTAAAAATTTTTACCAACTAACCTTTCAGACAGACCACTCTTTTCGGTCATGTAATAGACTTCTTCAGCAGTCAAAGGACCTTGTGCACTTTGTCCGTGCAGGAGCTCTTTTTCGATTTCTTCCATTGGTTTTCCCGTCTTCA